GCTTGAGCTAGATGTTAGAAACGATTGAGTCGGATTGACACACATATCTCAAAACTGTTGGGCCGCTAGAAGCTGAGCTTCCTCTGCTTATTGATAATTCATGGGACCGTAGCTTTGGTGGACTGAGGAACTCATTGTCGTATAGGCCAACGTGTGATTAGGCCCAGCAGGAAAACACCAACATTGTTGCCCATTTGGGTCCAAGAACTCAAAGCTGTCATCTACTGGGGTTATCGAGTTTGTCAGAGGGGCCAAAGGCAAGTTGTCCAACACACTGTCAAGCCAATTGGTTCCAGAGTAATGAGATGGCGGACCAGTCAAGTTGTGTAAAATGTTGTCAAAGTGCATTTGGAGTTGTGAACCTTTCAAGATGCTGGTGATTTTTAACAGTTCATTTGAAGCTTGGTTGCAATCCAGCTAACCTGGGAACTCAAAAGCCTGAAGTATGTACATACATACATGTGGGTTACATATGCACGTCTGAACATACTTAAGCACCTTGTAGTTCAAATGTAGCTGTACGTGATGACAGCTGCAGGGAAGAAACCCACCAAAAAAAAATTTAGGCGGACAATTTTCTTTTCGTGTGCAAAAGTTGCAAGTGTTCTTGGGTATGCTGTACCATTTGGGATTTTGGCCAAATTATTCATACATTTTTGTCACTGAAATTTACAGGGGTTTTCCTGGGTCCTATTGAGTTTTGAATCCCCCTATAGCTGATTTGGGTGTGTAAGCCCCGCCTGCACCTCCGCGCCTCTCAGTGGGTCGCGCGCTTTTTTGCGCTAGAGTCCCACACTAGCCTGTCACACGTAGCTTTTTTCACTCCATTTTTTTTGGGTCAGCCTTTTTGCACTCCAAAGATTTCCCCCACGCACACCAAAAAAGGAGTGCACTCCAAGATTTCTTGGAGTGTGTAGGAGTGCACTCCAAGAGTTCTTGGAGTGTGTAGGAGTGCACTCCAAGATTTCTTGGAGTGTGTAGGAGTGCACTCCAAGATTTCTTGGAGTGTGTAGGAGTGCACTCCAAGATTTCTTGGAGTGCACACCAAAAGGGGCAAAACTTGATGTTTTTGGAGTACATGGTTGTGCACTCCAAAAAATTTGGAGTGCATGTTTGTGCACTCCAAGAATCCTTGGAGTACACACCCTTGTACTCCAAGATGTTACTTCCCAGGTGTTTTTAGGGGTGCAAATCCAAATCCTGCTCACTCCAAGTTATTTGGAGTATACATATTAGCTTCACTCCAAAAATTTGGAGTGTTTTCTAAGACCCCAAGGCTGACATCACACTCAATTCATGGTATTTTTGATTCATTGCGCTTGTCAGATTTCTTTTGTAATTTTTGAAAGCCATAAGGGCCTGGTCAACAGACAGAGAGAGATTTAAATAACCTTTTAGTATTGACCACCAACGAGTTGCCTGAGTTTTGTGATTAATCATTGCCATTGTTTTGGTTCT